ACTGATGCCTTCGTGGGCGTCAAATGTGACTCGCATTTATGTGTGTATGGGTGTGTATTTATGCATTGTGTGCTCTCGAATTTGTGTAGTGGGTGCATCATACAAGTTGGTGTCCTCTCTGTTGGAGGGACACTAAATAAAACGAAATACGTTGAGGCTAGGGCTATGCCCGCTTTATTGGAGGCTTGATTAAGACTTATCAACTAAATTTACATTTGTTCAGTTTTTATAACAAAATTTTGATTACTATTGCAAAACGTGTGAGTTATGTTTTGAAATATGTACCAGACGCTCGACCGGAAAAGGGTAAATATGTAATTGCGAATATTAATAAGAATTATTATTGAATTTAAAGTATTACTGTTGACACAGCTATTTTTGTCAACACAATGTAATTTGCAAATATTAATAAAAAGATAACAGTTTCCTGTTTATTAACTTATTGCATTTCACTTTAACTTGACACAGCTTATTATTGGCTTTTGGGTCAATAGCTAGCGTAAGTGTCAAGTCAGCGGTTATTGGTTGAAGAATTAGCAAAGCGTGTGCTAACTCCATAGGGCGAATTGCGCATCGGAAGCGCTTTAGAAGCACTTCGTAGAGGCGCGTAAGCGCATCCTTCTTGTTGCAGATACCGCATCTTTTCCCATTGGCATGTCATTGGAAATTGGCGCATCACTTTCCTGTGAATATTGCGCAGAAAATGCACTGCAACAGTTGCATGAAACATGCGCATCTATTTAGCAACAAATAACGCGGAAGTGATGCGCATTCTCTTCGCAACTAACACTACAGTGCAGATGCGCATCTATTTAGCAACTAATACTGCGGTGTAGATGCGCATCTATTTTGCAACTAATACTGTGATGTGGATGCGCATCTATTTAGCAACTAATACTTCGGGAATGATGCGCATCTATGTAGCAACTTATAATGCGGGAGTGATGCGCATCGATTTCCTAATTGAACTAAAAATAAAAATTTTAATTTTTTTTATAGTAAATACACTGATTATATTTGAATTCATTTTGTGAGTATTCATTTTTAATTACATGAAAAGTAGAATTTACATTTAAATTTTAATTGATTTCAATGTACATCCACTTATATGTAAGAATATTTGAATTCATTTTGATTACTAAGTTTTTCATACATTAAATGTAGAATTTACATTCACATTTTGTTTAACTAAAAAATAATGGATAAATGAGATCTATCAATAACAAATTATATGTTTTAATTTCGCAAATTTTGTTTAAAAAAAAAAATATATATATTTATTTCACAGTACAACAGAAAGAAAACGCGAGAGGTGTTTAATGGTTGACCTTGAAACTTAAAATAATTACTTCTACTTCTAGTTTTACACATTTTGGATAAATAAAAATAATCAAACAATGAAATCTTCGAATCATAAAATTCTGGTTGATTGGATTTATTTTTATACATTTTGTTTTTCGAGGTTCGAAACCCCATCCGCATTACACCGTCATATTTAGAAAAGTCCATATCGGGACCGTGAACAGCACCTGTTGAATAAAAGTGGGGTATATGGTAGAATGCTGATGTTGAATACATATGTAACATACTTACGAAAAAGAATTTCTTTGAAAAAAGTTAATGATTTTACAGCAAATTTTTTTTGGCGACCATCCCAATTAATGAAAGGCAGAGTGCATTCCGCAAATAAGAAGGGAACGATTTTTCTAACTGGAGTAACACCCACAGTAGTGCGTACGTATGTGACCTGAAATTATATATAATGCGTAATGAGTTCAAAAGTCTGAAATGAAAACTTAAATTTTAAGCAATCAATGGGCATACCAATTCATCATGAGGGTACTGTGATAAAATGTTGTCTGCAGACTTAATCTCTTCAATCGTTTTAAATGGTAAAATCCTTAAATTGGAGGTTTTTGGTAAGAAGTTCTGCACCAATTTATCCAAAACAACACCATGGCTTGCTGAAATGGTTTTGATGGCTGATACATCTGCTTTCAATTCCTTTAAAACTTCCAGTAGCTCCTTTACATTTGGTTGATTCGACAAAGAGGTTTTAACCCTAGAACACACACCCGGGTACAAATGTATCCACTTTCAACTTTGAAGTGTTGTAACTTTTGAACCGCTATACCTCTATACCGCTAACTTCGGATCTAGGCAGATTATTTAGTTTTGAGTTCAAATTCAAAATTTGAACCAGATCGGACCATTGGTTCAGGAGCTACAGCCTTCCAAACACATTATATACGTAAACACACACCCGGGATACGTTTGTACCCCAATAGTAAAAATCCTCATAATAATAAAAAAAATTATTCTTTTACTTGTGATCCCTTCTAGGAAGGGAGGCTCCTCTATTCTGGAGGGTCTGGAATTTAGAATCGCAGAATTGAGCTAAGTTATAGATTGGACTTAATTTTTTGTTATTGGCTGTACAAGCCTTTATTTATCGCGACTAATCCTTTGAAGGATATTAAATAATGCGCGATTTTGTTTTGCGAATTTAAAACACTCACGAACCCCACGTTGGGCGCCAATTATGTTTCCCCATTTGGGAAACAGTAAAAAAATATATATTAATCCGCGTCTTCGCGGATAAATTAAAACTCGAGTTGTTTAAGTTACAAAGCTATGATGAAATGCCAATGTCTTGGACAAAGAAGTTATTTGACGCCTTTGAATGGAATTTTCCATTCGGAGCGGAAAAAATATATCAAATTTCAATGCGAAAATTTCGAACAAAGAAGTTAAATGAGTCGCAATTATGCAGCTGCATAATTGCTGAGTATGCAAAATTGTATTATGAATCTGTAAGATACAAATTATGCTTTTTCCAATAAGCAATATTAGGGGTATTCTCGAAGTGTTGCACGTAGCACGTATTGCACGAAATGGAAAAATACTATTCAAAATTTGCAAGAGTACGAGAGCACCCCTATTGCAAACTGTAGTTGCATTCAAGTCAAACAGCTGATTACATATGTGGCATTGTTTTTACCTATCAAAAAACAAAACAATTAATGAACACAAAAATGCCGCGCACTTCTGAAAAGCAAAAAATTATAAATTTTCTGATTGAACAAGCTGCTTTCGACATTCTGCTTCAGGATGGTAGTTATTTACCTACATTTGTATATGTATATTTACTGTATTAAACTTTATTATCCTATCGATTCGCTTTCATTGCTAATTTAAAATTTCTAGATGAAGCTAGTTTCTGGGAGATTATGGAAAATTTGAATGAAGAACTTATAATCACTTTATCGAACTATCGGGGAAGTTTTCAACAAGTGCCTAAAAGTTTGGAATGGAGAACCACTATCCTTCCACAATTAGACGAATACCGTTTTCGGCAGATGCTTAGAGTTACGAGAGACCAATTTACATTTATACTGTCTTTGATTAGAAACAATATCGAATTTAACAAATCGCACTCTGTTAGACAATATTCGGTGGATCATCAACTGGCCATAGTTTTATTTCGTTTAGGTTCATCAGGCGAAAATGCGGCTATTAGGAAAATAGCTTCAGTGTTTGGAGTTGGTGATGGTGAAACTATTTACAAAATAACAAAGAGAGTCTTTCAAGCTTTCTTGGAACTCAAGTCCAAATATATTTACTGGCCGGATGCTGCTGAAAGGCAAGAAATAGTGAAAAACACGTATAATGAGATGCCACATTGTATAGGATACATCGACGGTACTGAACTGAAACTTGCCGAAGCACCAGTGAAAAACCATACAACTTATTTTTCTAAAAGTCGGATATACTCTATCAAAGCGCAAGTTGTATGTGACCATCAACTGAAGATTCGACATGTTGTAGTCGGACATTATGGAAGTGTTCACGATGCTCGCATGTTTCGTACTAGTACCCTCTGTACTGAAGAAGATAATTTTTTTTCTTTTGACCAATGGTTAGCAGGAGATTCTGCTTATCCCTTACTAAAAACCGTCATTACCCCATATCGATCAAACTCCCAACAGTTGGACTACGCCAGACGCAAGGCCTTTAACTTACGCCATAGTAGATTTCGCGTGAGGATAGAACATTGTTTTGGGCTCCTTAAGGAGCGTTTTGGAAGCCTGAAAGAGCTGCGAGTTCGCATTCAAGATGAGAAGAGTCATAATTTTTGTTCAACTTGGTTCCTTGTTTGCTGCATATTGCATAACATACTACGAACCCCATCTCATGATGTAGATTATATGTATAACGTACTTGAAGATGACGAGGAACTGGATGAGCTTACTATGAATGAAATTGGTCAAAATAGTAGTCAAGCAGAATCCAAACGCAGCTATTTGTGTGCATTAATGGTAGGCGATTAATAAAATACTAAAAATTTATCATTTCTTATGAACCTACCTTAAGATTGGTTCGTTCCTAAAAGGATGTAAAATATTTATTAAACAAACAATTTTTTATTTAATAATAGAAAGTGTTTATTCGTTTAATTAATTTAATTTCATTAATATAATTTAATTTAATTTAATTAAAATAATTTAATAGCAACAAAAATCAAAATGACGCTGTTGGCAACTTATTTTTATTTATTTATTGTTAATAATCTTCATTTACATAAAACATGGGTCGATCCATATCAGAAACAACATAAATAAAAGTCTCAAAGCTTGCACAAAGTTCACAAAAACTAATTAAACTTAAAAAAATATTAATCAAAATTAAAATTTTTTTAGTTAGATTTCCTAGAAACAGTTTGAGTAAGCAGCCTTGTAGCCAATTCAAATTAGAATAATAAAGTGTAAGTTTCAAGTCGATAAAAATGACCGTTGATTTTTTACAATTATTTTCGTGGAGGGTGAAATTTTGAATTTTTGTAAGTTTAATTAGTTTTTGTAAACTTTGTGAAACCTTTGAAAGTTTTATTTATTTTGTTTCTGATATATATATATATATCGACCCATGTTTTATGTAAATGAAAATTATTAACGATAAATAAATAAACATAAGTTGCCAACAGCATCATTTTAATTTTTGTTACTATTATCTTGTTTGCAGCTGAACATACATAACTTTTATATTTATAAATAAAAGAACTTTATATGCACTTATCAAGTTCGCATTTTTTAACTTGTTTTTCTTATTTCATTTGTACTTCTGTCGTTTTATATACCCTTGTGGTCAGCTGATTAAGTTAAGTGATATTTTGACTAGTTTTGACTATTTTTCTTTTGTTTATTTAATGTTTATATTTTTTTTAAAAAGTTTGGCACTTTACCTAACTAGTGCCACGTAAATCCAAATTTCAAACTTCGTACCAAAATTATGAAAATTCAACAAACTTTAACATTTGCACAGGAAAATCTTAAACTTTTTATTAAGATATTTAAGAAAAATTTTGGGTATACAGTTTGGTAGTTCATTAAATTTTAGTAGATTAAAGTGCAAATTTCCAGACGCTAGAAAATCGCGTTGATTTTTAATAATTTTTTTTGGCTGATTACGTGGCGCTAGTTAGGTAAAGTGCTAAACTTTTATAAAAAAAATATAAACATTAGTCAGCTGACCACAAGTGTATTTTTTTTTATAAGTAAAAAAGAAAACTATTTGTACTTCCTATCAATTTCGTATCTGGAAATTCTCTCTTTCATTTCTATTTCTAGTTTTTTCAATTCTAACTCTTTCTCTTTCCACTTGTCTTCACTTTCTAGTTTTTTCATTTCAATATCGAGTCTTTTTTCTTCTACTGAAACTTTCTTTTCTTGTGTTTCACTTTCCTTCTCAAACTTTGCCCGCTCGAATTCCATTTTGTTTTTTTCGAAAGCAATTTTTTCTTTTTGTACGGCTGCTAGTTGGCTAATGGACGATTTGGGAGCAGTACGGGGTGCCACTTCCCTAGGAAAGCTAGACGAGGAGGAAGAAGCTGGTGCTGTAGCTGGTGCGGCACTTGAATTGTCAACAGCAGTTTCGTTCACTAGCTCAGGACTACTTGGAGATACAATAGTTGGACTGGCAGGAGAATGCTGTGGTGGACTTGGACTTGACACATCCGTGGACACTAGAAGTGGCTGAATGTTTGCGAACCTCTTACCAAACACTTCCTTTAGCCTATCGAAATGTTGGGCACGTTTTAGCCAATTTTTCTGAAAACAAATACATAAGTATTTCTAATTCACATTTTAAATATAATAGCTTGGGAGACTTAGAAGCTTTAAGAATAAAAACATCACTCTCTTTTACTTCAATACCACAGTAGATTGTAAAGGCAAAAATGTATGTACATGCATCCGCGGTTATCTTTTCCTGTGGTAGGGTCGTTTTGTATTTTGTATAGTCCCGAAGTCACACTTTATAATAACATCTACTTACCTTCTATGGTTACGCCATCACTTTTATGCAATAGTCCTGCACCAGTACCCGACAGCCAATCGTTGGCCTTGTTGTAAAGAGATTTCAAATGCCGCACCTTCCACCGTACTAATTCCCAAGTAACATTTAACTGCGTTTTCTCCAGAAAACGTTTGTAAAAAAACTTAGCCGATGGAGCCTGTGAGAATAAAAGCAACAATTAATCTATGTAAATAATACATTTTTATAAAGATTAATCAGAACATACCTCAAAATCTGCCTCCTGGTGGAGGAAATCAATTATAAGCAACACCTCTCGCTCAGTCCATTTATGGTTCGGTTCCTGTCTTGC